AAGGGGGGGCCTGGTTCCTGCAGCCATGGGAGGGGGAGGGGGCTGGTTCCTACAGCAAAGCACAAACATGCTTCTAAGCCTCCCACTCCAGTCCCGAGAGGCCCTTCCACAGCAGCTTGGACACTCTCCCCTGGGGAGAAGGGCTGGACACCGAGGGAGGGATCCATGCGCAGCAGCAGAGCACACGGGCTGGCCCAGGGCCAGTGCAGGTTAGGTGGGGAGTCCAGAAGGGGGGGGGGGGACAGCGTAGGGCTATGGCTCTCCTGCCCCGCACAGCTGCTCCTGGGGAGCGCCGGGGCGTTCTGGCCCCCAAGTAGCCTTTCCAGGGAGGGGGATGAAGCCACCGGAGCCTCCGCTCATGCAGCACTGCGGGTGTGAGAGGCAAAGCCACCTCCCGACTGTACCAAGCTTGGCCTGGGGCCAGGCCCCCCAGCGCGGAGAGGGAGACCCACCTCTTTCAACGTGGTTTCTACTAGAGTGGGGAGTTTGAAGAGCACCTCCTTCACCTGCACCAAGATCTGCCCAGGGGGAAAAAGGGAAAAGTTAGCACGGGCAGGAAAGGAACGACACCCCTCCATCTCCAAAGGCAATGGGCAAGTCCCTGACCTTGGGGTGGGGGAACGCGGGTCCCAGCATGCAATGCACCGCCTTGCCGGCACAGAAGCCCTGCCTGCTGGGACGTGTAGTCTTGGTGGACTCTTCTATGTTACAGGGTGGCAATGGAGGCAAGCCAGCTCCGCTTTACCCCTGCACGTCTGGCCCCCTGCCGCAGCCGTTCTTGCCAGGAAAGAGGGTGACAGCTCCTTCCGAAGAGGGGGCGAAGGGCTCCCCGGGAGACTCAACCCCACAGCAGGGCAGGGCAGGGCAGGGCAGGCAGGCGATTACCTGATAGGCACATTTCCTGTGGAGTTTCTTTTGATCCTTGTACCACTGCATTAATTCCTTCATGAACGCTAGCGTCACCTTCCCGCTGTGCAGCTTGGGGCCGCTGTACTCGTCCTCAATGGCTGGCAGGCAGAGACGAGAGGCAAGCAGGATCACCAGTTAGCAGCAGAAAGGCACCCAACCACCCGGAGCCCTGTGGGCACTGCCCTCAGGCCTCCACGGCTTACACCGGCTGCCTGCTTCCAGCCAGCTGTGCAGGATTCTCTCCTTAGAGCAAAGGCTTCCAAGGGCAGCGTTGTCAGGGGCCCGCTTCCCGCCCCAAGGAGCATTTC